AGGAATGCCATTGCCATGACATTTCCATGTACATTCCTTCGAAAATGATGTGTTTTTTTGGACCATGCATAGTTGACGGTCGAATAAAAATATAACTATTAAAGATGATAAAAATAAAAATATAATTATTGCGAGCTTGTCGAATCAATTTTGTCGCGTTTTATAGTCCGCATCTAAAAATGTATTGTATATAAATCGAATTAATCCAATGCAAAATAACTAAAAAAATAAATTAGAATAAAAATATTTTTAGAAATTAGTATTTTTTTTAAATAAAAAATGGAATAAGATCAGATTGAAATCCGATAAAGACTGGATGGTATAGTTTAAAAAAAAAACAATTCAAAACCCATAGATTGAAATCCCTAAGGCATTACTTTATATATTAATTAATTCATATCCCTAAAGAAAACGTGCACCGCACCGCCAGCATTAGTTTACAGATTTAAAGCAAGAATCAAATTCGAAATGCAAATGAGAAATCTCATAAAAAAATATATATATGTTTAGTCTTATGACATCAATAAAGACTTAATGACGATTGATTACTGAAATAATGACACCGCCAAGCACAATTATTACTTAAAAGAAAATAGATCATAGACCATAAAATCTTTGGAGAATTTTGTCCAGTTTGGTGAGATAAGATACTGAAAGGCTGCTGACATTGAAAGTCAAACTTCAAACACTAAAAAAACTCTATTATTAAAATTACCTTCATTTTGTTATAGTTTAGGGGTGTCAATCGGGCCGACCTGGTCCGAGTCCACACTCGGTCCGGAAGTTTCAGGTTCAGGTTTGGACTGACCCGATTTTTTCGGATCTATATAATTAAGTCCAAAGTCTGGTCCTATGCATTCCGGGCTCGGGTCGGGTCGACCTGCGGATCTCCCTTTGTAAATGTTATTTTTTTTCTTTTTTTTTATTTTCGGGCTTTCGAGCCGGCCCGACTCGACCCCGAAACCCGATTTGAGCCCAGTCTAAAAACCCAATTTTTTTCGGGCCAAGAAACTTTGGCTCGAAGCCCGCTACTTTTCGGACTGGTCCTAGCCAAGCTTCGGGCCTCGAGCCCAAATTGACACTCCTAACGTAGTTAACAACATATTCTTCTATATCCTTTTTTTATCAGTATAACCATGGTGTTCTATTTTAGAGATACACCGTTAACATTATATGCCATATCGTTTAAATTTATATGATGGTAACATTGGTAATATTGTTCACACTAATCACAAAAATAAATTAAAAAACTATGGTACGAAATCCATGTAACAAAATAAGGTTAGTTTCGATATAATGTTCATCCAACAGAAGAACTCAGATGCTTATCATTTGATCAAATCTCAAACTCAGATTCACATCCCACATCTGATGCTTAAACATCTCTCCAACAGAGACTGGATCCATAAAGCAGATTCAAGTATCAAAGATCAAACAGATTGATCGAAACTAGAGGAAGAAAAAGAAAGAACAGCGGCCTTTTCTGCACTCCTCTCATCTATTGTCTTAAAACTCACAAACTAAGTAACAACAGCAGCAAGAAGATCAAACAAGCCCATTTCTCCTCAACGTATATAAGTTCCCTTGCACTTATCATGACTTTGCTTCTGATAAGACAGACAAATTTTATAAACCCTAATCCTTTCTCGGCTAAGAGAGAGCTTTAATTTGAGGGGAATGATAAATAAATAAACCAATGGGCAGAAAAAGAAAAGCCATACCTTGATTGAACAGTATTTATGTACGAAAGCGGGTTCTTCTCTGCTTTCTCTTTGAAGCTGGTTTTCATGGCAATGGTCGGTTCCTTTCTCAGGATGCCTCGTTCAGACAGCAGCTTCTGCAAGGCTGTCTGCTAGGCGATTCTGAAATAAATCTTAAATATTGTGAACGTACGTCCCAATTCTTTTTGTATACTTATAATACACGTATAGGTACATGTGATTACGAGCGGAATAGATATATATATATATATATATCTTTCACGTATTTATTTGTTAATGTTGTTCGTCGACCACCGAAATGTTATTTGCAAATGATGGTGATGATGAATTACAGCTGAGAATAATACAACAAGATATTGATGAAGAGGGACAATCTATCTAATTCAACACCCAACAGCCCATCAAAACCTCGTTGACTTTTAATAACTCATCCATTTGTCAACATCACAATTAATATTTAAAAACCTACCCAACCTTCCATGGCCTCACCAATACAAGAAATTAATAATGATAATTGAAAAGTCGCAAGTTAAACCAAATTGCAGTAAGTAGACTGATTCGTATTATCTTATAATAATAGCGATTAGGGATGAAATTATCCATTGCGAACAAAAAATAAATAAATATCTATTTTGGCCCGTGAGATTTTACCCGAACATTCGTTTTATCTACTAAATAAAAGAATTTACAAATCAAACCCCTCTACTCCTCAAAATATTACAAAAACACTATCCATCTAATCGCTTACGTTTCTAAATTTCATCCCAAACTTTTTATTTCTTCCGATTTCCTCCCCACTCAATTCGAATCGGTCACCAAACAGCTCACCCGGAGAAATATTATTCTCCTGCGACGCGGTCTGGTGGTGACGATGCTCTCCTTCGTACGTCACGATCAGCATCGTCGGATCATCCAACGCCCGTTCCACGTGTTTCCTCGCGGGACATCCTCTGAAGATACTACACTTGTAATAACCCCTGCAACGAACGAAAACGAAATCTCCACCGTTAGATCGAATCGGATCCAGACAGAATCAACGGCGGACAAGACGCGGGTCTACTGTATTACCGTGGGTGTGGTGAGCCCTTGATCGGCTTCTGTCCGTACTTCCTCCACGAGTACTCGTCTGATGGAATATCGGCGATCTTCGAACTTATTGCCCGAACTCTAACGGTTCTCTTCACACGATTTTTCCTGCTATAATTTAAAATGAAATAAAATTAGCTTAACGTGCGCCGAAGGGCTAACGTGTACGGAGTGCATTTGGGGCTGTAGAATAGTCAACGGTCAAACCCTGGGTTTCTCTAAACTTTTTAACCGTCCCGAGATAATAGACAAACTGTTCTAAAAGTCATTTGTCACGCGTGCCGTTCACTATTTTACTTTTCACCCACCTAATTAAATCTTAACCGAACCGTTTACTCGGTTCAGTTTCTAAACCGGTATTATTTTTCCGAAACTTATTAATTAATGAATCGTGGTTCAAGTAAAAATTGGTTTGGAGTTAATACTAAAATGCTAAGGCGACGCGTCGGTGAGTCGGTGACGGAACACGATAACTCAACCGATTGGTTAAGAGTAAACCAGACCGGTTTAATTGGTTCAATGACCAAAGCGGTGATATTTTCCCCTCAGCGAATTAATCAATGAAGCGGTGTTGCTAGTCAAAAAGGGATGAAATTAATAATTAAAGGCTAATGCAGAGAGATGCTTATGCGACGTGTCGGCGAGGAAAATGGATACCTCTTCTTGCAGTGGCACTTGCCGTTGCTTCCGCCGGAGATCTTGCCGGAGAAGTCTTCCGAGTGCTCGTGCTCGTGCTCGAGGCATCTTTTCCTGGACGGATGACCGGCCAACGGCGGTTTCCCAGTGGACGCCGCCGGGGGGAGGAAGATCGACGAGCCATTTTTCCCGTTCGAGACGCTTCCGTCGCCGGTGATAGCCGAGGACATGTACGAAGAGTTCGAGGAGACGCTGAAGCTCTCCTTCGCGAACTCGAGCTCGGCGGATTTGGCCTTAGATACAAAAACACTGGGTCTGGTGAAATCGAGCGTCACACTCTGCTGATTCCCCTGAACGAAGCTCGTCCGCACAATATCCGGCGGCGGAGCAGAGATCGGGGGCGGAGGAAACGCAGCGGAAGAAGAGGAGGAAGTAGGGGAGGAGTGAAGCGGTCCGCGTCTGAACCGGGCATGACCGGTCCGGTTAAGGAGGGAGATAACCTTCTTAAACTTAGAGACGGTGAAGTCGGTGATCTCTGAGTAGTCGGCGTTGCCGTCGGGGCGGTGAGAGAGGACATGGATCAGGTGCTCCATGCTCTTGAGTCCTTGCGATGCAGCTTCCTGTATAGCCGTTTGATCCTCCATCTTCGGGAAGCTCATGAGATCGACGGCCATGATTACAGATCTCTCCTTTTTTTTTGGGGGGGGGGTTCTCAAAGAAACATTGAAGGTGTGTAAATGGTGGAAATGGAGATGGAGAGAAAAGGCGTGATATAAGGAGGTGGTGTGACCGGGTGACCGGGTCAGGGTGTGACTTTTAGTCAAACCGGGTAGGTTTTGATCCAACGGCTGACAATGGAATAAACAAATATGTAAATGTCCCATATGTGTATAATCTCTGAAATAAAGGAATTCTAGACGAACGAAACGTATCTATATAGTCGAATATGGAGATGGAGAGAAAAGGCGTGATATAAGGAGGTGGTGTGACCGGGTGACCGGGTCAGGGTGTGACTTTTAGTCAAACCGGGTAGGTTTTGATCCAACGGCTGACAATGGAATAAACAAATATGTAAATGTCCCATATGTGTATAATCTCTGAAATAAAGGAATTCTAGACGAACGAAACGTATCTATATAGTCGAATACCCCAAATTTACTAACTAATTAATAATTAATTAAAATACTAAATGAATGATCATGATCATAAGCTCGATTTTATAAATTTTAATTTTAATACGTGGGGAAGTCATCGATATATTTTTTTTGCTAACTGCAGTAATTTTACATATTGCATTAAATAAAATTCCAGAATATGTTTCATTTACAAAATAGCTATATTTTGATTACACATAAAAAAAAAACAAAATAAGCGAGTGAAAATGGTATGAACAATGATATTTGTAAAACTTAACATCGATTGACAATCCTCCCATTATTACTTGAATCTAACTATGTCCATTAATGTAAATATCAGAACATATCTGTGTAATCATTTTTTATAGTAACGAGCTATTTGTTTGCCTGCATTTTTTAGTATATGTTTTCCATTTTAGAAGTAAGGTTTCCATTTCTTTTCACACAATTAAAATACTATAAAATAACAATATTCCGGTAAGAGTTTTACCAATATTTAAAAATTTTAGAGATTCATGCACGGGTTTTGAACTTCTAGAACGATTGATTAATATATTAATATTATGATTGTATTAGTTTTTGCTTGACTTTAATTAGCCTTACGGGTTCATAGAGATGATGGACCAGCAATAAAAACTAAAACCATTATTATATACAATAATTGTTGACTGTAATATTAATATTAGTGTCTTTGTTTGGCGACGGGGACAAATATAGAAAATATAAGAAAAACAAATTAGAAAATGTGTTCAAATAGAGAACGGTTGACCAACTGGGCAAAATCGAGTGGTCCCGGTTAACTCTTATATGAGCCGTTGGATTCAACGAAGGCGATCCAACGGCGATCTGTGACTAAACAGAGTTGACTGCGACCCTTCCAATTTTGTTTTCTTATTTTTTTTTATGGAATTTAAAAATCCTTTACAGGGCCATTGGGATTTCTCCACGTGGCACTCGATCCTGATGGCTCATCTATGTTAACATGTGAAAACATAAAATATGAACATTTGTCTCACATAATTTTTTTTTTTGAAATTTAGAGTGAAATGATTCTGGTTTTATAACGGTCAGAGTCGGAAATTTGTTTCTTAACATTTTATTTTGATTTTTTGTTTTTTCTGTAAATATTAATTATTTTTGGTTTTATATGTTTTATTTTTTAAAAGCTAGGTTGGATTTGATTTTGATTACCAAAATATTTATTTTTTAAAAATATTTTCTTTTAACTTTTTTATTTTATTATTTCTTTAGAATCTATTCTTTAGATTTACCAATTATATTGTATACAAAATCAAAATAATATATTATTATATTATTTGATTCATTTTAAATTATGTAATTAAATTGATCTATATATATATATATATGTGTGTGTGTGTGTGTGTAATTAATTTGTTTTAATTAATGTTTATGATGTATGGATGCAATGTAGATTGGTATTCCTTTACTTTTGGAACTTTAATAACTCATCCGATTTACTCTTTTATTTTTTAAATTAAATTTATAGTATAAGAATAAATACCAAATATTTAAAATATATAAATTTTAAATTGATAACTCAATCTAAATCCGATAATGATATAAATATAGACATTTCAAAATAAGAGAAATCTAATCATAAGTGATATCTTTGGAGTAAAGTATATATATTTGTGTGTGTGTGTAACGTGTTATGCGTGCAAAACAATGTTGGAGTGTGATTGAAAACACTATTTTGTCAACGTATACGAATTATAACATTGAGGTGTTGACCCGACCAAGTTATTTGAATGTCTTGCACGTCTCTTATTTTTGTTGGGATATTTTTTTTAGAAAAATTTTGTACAAATGTTATAATTTTGGAAAGATTGGAAAAGTATACTTATTTTAGGGATGAGCAGTCGGTTTGGAAATTTAGTTTCAAACCGTATCGAAAAGATTAATTACATTTCGATTCATATGGTATTATATAAAAAAAAAATCAAAATGGTACAAAATTAAAGATACCGAATGGGTTAAAAATGATTGGATTCGGTTCGGTAAATACCAAATAATATTTCGATTTTTTTTTTGTTTATTTTTATTTAAAAATATTAAATATAATCTTTATTAGTAATATTCATTTTGTGTATCAAATTAAGTGTTTTGATAAAATAAAGAATAACATTTATTGAGCATAGAAAAAATCTATTAATATTTTACCAATTTATTTATTTTAATTATATTAAAATTCTCAAAATAAACTCAAATTGTGTTTAACTATTATGAATCGTACCATAAAAAACTTGAACTATCCCAAATTGTGCGATCCATTACGATTTTGGTATTTATTTAGTAAAATCGTATATACCAAACATAATCGATCCAAATAATATACAGTACTAATTTGATACAAATTTATAATATCGAATAAACTATCCTGAACTATACCATTAAAATTCGGAACTGAATACCGAAACGTCCCACCCTACTTATTTTACAAATAATATTTTTATATAAATTTATGGCAAAATACCCTCTTATTGTTAAATTTTTGTATCATGCCATCCATTTTCTCTCTTTATTTTAGCATGCGAATTGTAGATTCACAAATCACAAATCACAAATCGTCTCAATTACGAGTTTGTAGAACTTTTTCGGTTCGAATCGATACAGTCCGATTTTTATTCCATACGGTCTGCATTATAAAATTATTATTATTTTATTCGATTCTCAAATTTTTGGAACAAGTTATTATAGTCTTGGGGTTTCGGGTGAGGAGTGAGAGGTTGGAGGAAAAGGGCTTCCTCCGTCGCCCCATGGGGGCCGACGGCGTTCCGGTTCACTTGGGCGACGGGTCTCTCTCTCTCAGACCGGTTTTCTTTTCTCGTTCTGTTTCTCAAGTGGATTTCGCTGTCCTGGATTTTCAATGTTAGCTTCGATTCTTTGGACCACATGGAATTAAACTAACAACCGTACCACCTTAATTGTCTCTTTAAGGGTTTGATTCTTCGGTCCAATATATATATAAAACTAGTAGCGAATCTAAAAAATTTATTGTTCGGAGATTATGATAAATACTAAAAATAAAAGATCGTTAGGTTAATTATATTATAATACACGGAAATTAAATATTAATTTTATGTAAATTAATTTACATAATCTACTAATTAACGTCTATTCATATATATATATATATATATATATATATATATATATATTCGTATAATAAGCACATCGTTTGTAATGTTTCATGTTGGGCTTCTTGGTCAATTTTGACTGCATTATCCGACCCGTTTAATTTATCAAATTCGAAACATGTTATTGGGCCATAAGGCCCATTGTTAGCTTCCTTAACAATCAGTGCAGCTTTTGAAGAGTTTCCGAATCGGCCTCTTCGGCTTGAAATCAAAATCGCGTCGCATTCGTTTTCGCCTCTCATGCGAACGGAGCAAAACTCGCACGAACGCTTCGCGTTAGATCTAAGGAAGTGGTGAAAAGCGTTTAGGTTGCGAAGCAGATTTTCGGTGGAATCGTGCAGGGCGAATTCACTCTCCGTTGTTTTGGAATTCATTCGGTCGGACGAATTCGTGGTATGGTACGGTCCCTTCAATCTACATAGTTCAGTTCCGAAATTTTCTGTGTTGAATCGAATCTCTGTTTCGCATTAGATCTCGTTCGGCGCTTTCTGGAGTAGAATTTGATCGTTTTGTTCTTAATTCGAATGTGTTTTCTGGGTTACTTTGGTCGGTGTTGGATTCTCGGTGTGCTAGATTAAATCCGGAGCTCGTTTTCCGTTCAGTTGTTTGGATAATCGTCTTGACAACTGGAGATTGCGTTCGTCGTGTTTTCAACGCTGAATGTTTTGCTTAAGAACGGTATTCGAGATATTCTGTTACTGTTGTATCCGAGTTCTGAGATTTGTTCCGTTTGGCTCATCAAGAGGAACGAAGTTATGGTGATCCATACTTGGTGGTGATTGATAAAGGGAATCACTATACGAACACAAAAAGGAGTGGATCCTATGGACAAGAAAAAGAGTCGTACCGATCTACTCGATGCTGGACGCCAAAAGGTTAGTTCTTCGAATCTGATCTTTTCATCGGGGATTTGAACTTCCTTCAAATTTCAAAATTTTGTTTTGTACTGGTATTTTTTGCGATGCAGTGATAATATGAGTAAGTAATGAGCTGGGTTCTTACCTGAATCGGAAGTAGGTATTACATTTCTTTTTTAAAACAATAGGAAGAGCAGGAAAGGTTGATGTTGAGCTAGCTTCATATTTGATTTTATGTCGAACATTCAAGTTGTCTCTCTCCAATGAACAAGGAAATTGGAAATGTTTTGATAGTTTTTCTTGCAAGTGTGTACCAATCTAGTCTCCATACTCTGTATTTGTCTTGCCTAAATTTATGCCAAAAGAAATGGTGTAATCTCATATCTTCTCGGTCTCATTTCAGCTTCAACAATTCCGTCAAAAGAAGGGTAATAGAGGCTCTGATCAGAAAAAGGACAACAAAGGCAGTACAAGCCAAGGAAAATCTTCTAAAAGGTCCAGTAAGCCTGAGCAGCATGAGCCTAAACCTGACACGAGTGCTGTCATAACCAAGTCGTCCATTCCTTCGCATGTGACAGGAGGAGGCACTGCCCCTCATGAGGAGGTCGTGGTATGCTCAGAAGCTTACGAAAGTGCATTGGCTCATGAGATTGATGTATCAGTCCATAGTTCATCATCAGAACTTGTTATGCCTCAGCAAGGCAGCACAGAAACAACTACTGATGATAAAGCTGAGCTAAGAGAACGAGAAACAGTTTCTGAAAATGATGTTGATTTATCATTACCCAATGAAGGAGAGAACTCAGAGAGTACTGGCATTGGGACAGTCAGCAGAATGACTTCATCAAATTCTGAGCCCATGGACTCTGAAAAGGGAATTAGACATGTCGATGCAGCTTGTGATGTTGATGTTTTGGGCTCACCTACTGCTGGCATCTTTGTGGAGGAGGGAGGAGTTGAAGTTGAAAGCAAGCCTGTAAACGAGGAAATGCCGCAGCATCTGTCTTCATTGCATGAAGATATTCCTGATATTCCCCTGATTGCTTCAAGGGGAGATCAGGTAACTGATGTAGGTTGTCCTCTCCACTTCATGCCTCTTAGTAGTATTTTTCTTTGTTTTTTTTTTGTAATAGGAGTAAATGCGAGGAGGTCAGGTTATAGCATGTTTTTTTTATGTATAATTAAATTCTCATATGTTTCTGGGTAGGGGAAATGCAGGAAGATCATGGTTCACATGTGGCGCAGCTTGGTGAAGGCTTGCACAAGGACAATATGGAAAAGTCTGCAACTGAAAAAGGGGAAGCCAGCAATACAGCGAATGCACCTTCGTCTTCTTCCTTCTCTGGCATTTCAGAAGGATCTTCAGTTTCATTTGCTTCACATGAGGTTGAAGGCCTAAACATCAAAACTAAGAGCCAACATAGCAAAGAAGTTACAGATATGCATGAAAAAAAATCAGAGACATCTCTAGGCCCTGGAATTTTGGGTAATAACAGAAACGAAGTACTTCCAGCTGTGACAGAGGAATGTGCTGTTGCAGATGTGTCTAGAGAGCTGCAAATTCCTGAGAGCATGGATGTTTCTGGAATTGCAAGTAATGAAGAACCTTGCAAAATGGATTCTTTGAATCCATCAGCAGCAGTTGCTGCCTCTCATGTTGATGAAAATCGCTCAGTCAGCTTCTTGCAGCTCATTGACCTTGTACGGGGACTTAGCCAAGATGAGTATGAAGTTTTGTGTAAGTCAAGAGAGATGACTTCCAATATTGAGCTGGAAGCAAGTTTGTTAGAGAGAGTGAAAGAAGAATTATTTGTTGCAAGTTCCTTGAAAGATATACTTCATGTGCAACTTGAAGAACAGTCTAATCTACAGAATGAGTTTGATCTGCAACAATACCAGCTGCTTTCTGAAATATCACATCTTCGCGCTTCATTTTCCTCACTCAAAGAGAATAATGATAGTCTTACAGAGGAACTATCAGATTGCAGGTCTAAACTCTATAGTGTTACGAGCTCAAATGAGAGGCTTCAGAATCAACTTCTTGCTACTGAAATACAGGTGGAGGACTTCACTACTAAGATAAATCAGTTACAACTTAATCTGGAACAATATCAGTTGGATTTGTCAGAGGCAAAGGATCGATTGATCAATCTCCAAGTGGAAAATGAGACTTTGGTTGCTACTATTTCTTCAGCGAATGATGACAAAAAGAAACTGTTTGAAGAAAAAGAGTCCAAGAACTGTGAGATCGAGCAACTGTCATCTGAGTTGGGCATCTGTAAGAACTTGGTGGCCAGTCTACAAGCAGAAATTGACAAATTGGACAAAACTATTGGTCCATTGACATGTGAGAAAACAATGCTTGTTGAGGAGAAACATAATTTATTGGGTGCAGCAGAGAATCTAGAGGCAGAGTTGGCTAATTGCAAGACTTTGTTGAAAATGCAAGAGGTTGAATCTTCTAAGACAGAGGGAACACTTTCTTTGATGAGAGCTAAGGAAATGAAGCTTGAAGAGGATAACTTACATCTTTCTGAAGAAATTGAGAAGGTTCACCTAGAATTTTCAGCACATGAGATTTTGGAGACTGCTTTATGGTCTGAGTATTCCAACATAAAGGAAGGGTGTTCTCTCTTGAAGAATGAAATGCAGAAGTTTAAAGACGAGAAGGAACAATTGGTTGAGGAGAATGATAGGCTTTCAGGTGAGCTTCTTACGCTTCAGGAGCATCTGTCAGCTGAACAAATTGCACGGACACGTCTAGCAGTTGAATTGGGAGAAGTAAAGGTGTGTCTGGACAAAGTTTCTGAAGAAAATGCATTTCTAAGTAGTAGCCTCAAGGAGCACAAAGTTGACGTGAGAGACATAGATAACAGGGATGCTTCTGGATTGATCAATTATGAAATGCCCGATAAACTTGCTGGAATTTCAGGAGTTCAGGCCACTGGTCAAAGAGGTGTAACTTCTTCTGAACGTACTTGCGAAAGTCTTGAGGCACAGCATGTTAATGTTGAAGAGTTAGTTGATTCTTCTTCGGAGTTTTCTACCTTGAATGAGAACTTGAAGAAAGCGGAAAATATATTGCAGAACCTTGAAGAGGCAATTAAACGGATTCATGCTGATTCCTCATTCTTAAATAAATCGAGTAGTAAGGTTGTGGCACCAGGAGTATCAAAACTGATTCAGGCCTTTGAGTCAAGGCTGCCACAAGAAGAACAAGATTTGGAAGAAACATCGTTGGCCAGTGAGCAATCAGAGACAGATCCATTTGTTTTTGTGAAAGGGCAGATCAGAAATTTGAGAACCATTGTTGAGCGGTTAACATCAGATGCTAGGAATGTTTACATCAAATTCAAGGAAGGGCACACCGACAGGATTTCTGCAAATGAAAAACTCAGAGAGTTTGAAGTTAATTTTGATCTTCTCCAGGAGCATATTAACTTTCTGGAGGTAGATACTATTGGGAATAAGATTTCGTTTGAAGCTCTTAAACAATATTCATATGAGCTGCAGGCAAAGAATCATAAACTTAGATTTCTTTCTGAATCACTAAAGCAGCGAAATGATGAGTTCAGTGTGGAGAACACGGAGCTTAATAGGAAGCTAACTTCTTGCTTATCAAGAATCCATGGGCTTGAAAGTCAGTTGGAAAATTTACAGCAAAATCTAAGCTGTATGTCTTCTTCTATACAAGAGCAATTAGCGGGTTTGCAGGAGGAATCTGAGAGGGCAATGAAGCTAGAACATGAATTGGCATCATCAATTTCAGAAATTGATGAAACAGTTGGCAGGCTTGATGATCATCTAGTCAGATTTTATCCATTCTCTGGAGCTCATATTGGCCTGGATGTGAACAAGCATGTAGCCAGTTCCGTAAAGGTGGTTGTAAAGGTAATCGATGACCTTGAGAATAAATTACAAGCTGCTTGTACAAATCACGAGTCCTCCTCAAAATCATACGAAGAATTGAAGGAGAGTTTCAACAGTTTGGTTGAGAAGCATGAGTTTGCTTCTGTTACACTGCATAACGTTTATGTTGGTCTCAAGAAACTTGTAATTGAATCATGTGGGTCTGCGGAGATGCCTGATCATAAAACACAAAATCTAGTGATGTCTGATCCTTTCAACTATGGTAGTTTTGAGGTACTCTTGGAACTTGTGCAGAATTCTCTTTCTGAGAGGCTGGAACTTCAGTCGTTAGTCGATAAACTGCACTTTGAATTGTCGAGTAAAAGGAAAGATATTGAGGAACTGACACGGAAATGCCTTGATTCCGGTTCACTGCGAGAGTTAGTCGAGAATGTTCAGGGTATTGTCAAACTTGAATCCGTTGACATTAGCTTTGATGAATCCCCTGGCTCATTTGTGGAATTTCTGGTTTCCCATCTTGTTCAGAAGTTTAGAAAGACCGAGGAGCTGGCTAATCTCATCAGAGAACAACTTGAGGCCAAGGATATGGAGCTGATGGAGTTTCAGGAGAACTTACTGCACCATAAAACTGAAATCGGTGATCTCAGGGAAAGTTTAAGTCGGGCAGAGGAGTCCCTTTTGGCTGTAAGATCTGAGTTACAGGAGAAATCAAATGAACTTGAACAGTCGGAGCAGCGGTTATTATCCACTAGAGAGAAGCTCAGCATAGCTGTTGCAAAAGGCAAAGGTTTGGTTGTTCAGCGGGACAACCTCAAGCAGTCGTTGGCAGGAACATCTGCTGATCTGGAGAGGTGCTCAGAGGAATTAAAACTGAAGGAAGCAAGGCTTCTGGAAGTAGAAGCAAAACTTAAGACCTATGCGGAAGCGGGTGAACGTGTGGAAGCTTTGGAATCTGAGCTTTCATACATCCGAAACTCAGCTACGGCACTGCGAGAATCTTTCCTTTTAAAAGACTCTCTGCTCCATAGAATCGAAGAAATTTTAGAGGATCTGGATCTACCAGAGCATTTTCATGCTCGGGATATACTTGAAAAGGTAGAGTGGCTAGCAAGGTCAGCTAGTGGTAACTCTGTGCCTCCCTCTGACTGGGATCAAAAGAGCTCTGATGGGGCTGCGGGATTTGTTATGACGGAACCCTGGCGAGAGGATGGACAACCCAGCTCAAATTCTGGGGATGATTTAAGGATCAAGTTTGAGGAGCTCCAGGGCAAGTTTTATGGGTTGGCTGAACAGAATGAAATGCTGGAGCATTCCTTGATGCAAAGAAATAATTTGGTTCAGAGATGGGAAGAACTCTTAGGGAAAATTGACATGCCTTCACAGCTGCAGTCTTTGGAAGTGGAAGACAAGATTGAGTGGCTTGCGAGTAAAATATCAGACGCTATTCATGACAGAGATACTCTCCAACAGAAGATTGACAATCTTGAAAACTATTGCCGATCGCTGAGTGATGATTTGGAAGTTTCACAAAAGCATGTATTTGATGTCGAGGCAAATCTTCACACAGTTATTAAAGAGAGGGAAAATCTTTCTGAAAGACTGGAAAATCTGAGCTATGATCATGAGAAAGTTTCTGGGAGGGCCACTCAGCTTGATGTTGAGAACGAGAACCTACAAAGTAAAGTAAAAGATTTGCATGAAGAATTGGTTGAGAAGCTTGAGACTGAAGAACATCTTCATACTATTGAACATGAGATGATAAGATTGAGGGACTTGATTAATGAGGCTATGCAGGAAGGTGGCTTGCAAGATTGGTCGCTGGGGCATGATTCTGAGACCTTGGAGGAACTGCTGAGAAAGCTGATAGAATATTACAAGACTTTGGTGAAACCTATTGGAGCACACGAAACAGTTGAAAACTCCTCAGAAGCACGTACAACAAATCCCAATGATATTGTAAGTGCAAACCCGTCGGTTACAGATGCATCTCACCTGATCGAAGTGACTGACGTGACAAGCAGGGATATAGCAGTAGTAGAGACACCTGATGTAGCTTCTCTAAAGAAAGATTTGGAGGAAACACTAGGTATGCTGGAGCTGACAAGGGAAGAAAAGGATTCATATATGCAAAAGCAACAATCTCTGATCGCTGAGAACGAGGCACTTAATAAAAAAATGGCAGAGTTGCAAGCTTTGCATAGTCAAGAAGAGCAAAGGTCAGCTTCTGTTAGAGAGAAATTGAATGTTGCTGTCAGGAAAGGCAAATCCTTGGTACAACAAAGGGATAGTCTGAAGCAGACTATAGAGGAGATGAGCACTGACCTAGGCCACCTGAAATCAGATCTTAAAAGCCGAGACGACATGCTTGCGGAACATGAAAAGAAAATTAGGGAATTGGCATCCTACACTGGGAGTGTAGATGCATTGGATTCTGAATGCCAACGGTTGAAAAATCATCTGAAAGAAACAGAAAATCTTTTGAACGAGAAGAGCAGCGTGTTAAGCACAATTTTAAGTGTTTTAAATAGCATCGATATCGGTGATGAAAGTGAAAACAATGATCCAGTTATGAAGCTTCAAAAGATCTCACAACTATTTCAAGATATGCATACAGCTATGTCTTCCGCAGAGCAGGAATCCAGAAAATCTAGAAGAGCAGCTGAGTTGCTGCTTGCTGAGTTGAACGAGGTTCAAGAGAGAAACGACAATCTGCAAGAGGAGCTATCAAAATGTTCGTATGAGCTCGAGCAACTTTCCATACAGAAAGATGCAGCTGAGGGTGCCAAAATTGAAGCTTTATCTCGCCTGGAACAATTATCTGTGATGCACAATGAGGAAAGGAGGAAACAATATTCTCAACTGCTGTTCTTTGGAACTAGTTTGAACAATCTGAGGGATATGTTCAGCAGTATCAATGCTTGCCTAGCCGATATTTTCACCAAGGATATGGAGTTTCTGCATCATCTGGAGGCGAATCTGAAATCACGTGTGGAGCAAACCGATGCCTATTTGGCTGCCTGGCCTCATCTTAGCTCAGCATCTGTGAATTTTATAGACAAGGTATTTAAAATCCTTTTAGAAGTCTGTTATGGTTCATTTTCAACTCTGGTCTTGTTGCTCTTGTTCATCAATGCTGTTTTCCCCTTTGTTTAGGACAACTCTTCACGTTCAAGTGCTTGGTCTGACATAAACATGCAGAAGATTTCAAGCGATGGAGATATGACAGAGATTTGTAATTCTCTTGCACAAAATGTGGATGAGCTCATGATGGACATTGATCTTTTCAAAGAGAACATTAGCAAGCATTTGGTATCATGGCATGAGCAGGTTAACATTGCAGCCGATGTCACGGATACCTTTTTCAGGTCATTCGGAAAGGACAAAGACTTAGAAATTGCTTCTCTGCATGAAAAAATTACGTTGCTTCATGGGGTGTGTTCTAATGTATTTGTGGAAATTGAAAGCAAAAGAGCTGAATTGATTGGAAATGGAGTTATGGATACGAATATTCGTCATCAAGCAGCAAGAACAGATGACAGATTTTCGTTGGGTGAAGGGGATGATCTGTTGACCTTGGAATCCATCAGTTCCATGGTGGATAGGCTATCATTGGCTGTAAAGGATTTTGTCGTGGCAAATGCTGAGATGGTGGAAAGAAATCAAAAGGAGATGAAAATGATCAATGCCAATTTGCAAAGGGAGCTACAGGAGAAGGACTTCCAAAGAGAAAGGATGTGCACGGAGTTGGTTGGTCAAATAAAAAATGCCCAAGCTGATGCTAAAAAGTTTGCAGCGGAACTTCAATCTTCAAGTGTCTGGATGCGTGATATGCAGAACGAGTTGGACATTTCGGTGAAGGAAAGGGATTCATTGGCGGAGAGAGTAAAGGAGTTACACGATGGACAAGCCTCTTACTCAGAGTTACAGGAGAAAGTCAAGTCCCTCGGTGATCAACTAGTTGCCAAAGACCAAGGTCAGTATCTTAGTTTAGATCTTTTTTTTTTTAATTTTCTCTTCAACACAGATGTGGATGATACTCGATGGCTGGTTGCAGAAATCGAGGCCTTGATGCAAGCTCTCGACGAGGAAGAGTCTCAGATGGAAGATCTGAGACACAAGGTTACAGATCTAGAGCAAGAAATTCAGCGGAAGAACCTAGATTTGCGGAATGCTGAAGCTTCTCGAGGGAAGATTGCTAAAAAGCTATCCATTACCATGGATAAATTCGACGAACTCCATCATCTTTCAGAAACCCTTCTTGCAGAAATCGAAAAGCTCCAACAGCAACTGCAAGATCGAGACTCTGAGATCTCGTTCTTGAGACAAGAGGTCACTAGGTGCACCAATGAGGTACTTGCTGCCTCCCAGATGAACACGAAAAGAGATTCGGACGAGATCCAAGCTGTTTTGTCTTGGCTCAACTCAATGTCTTTACTTTTCGGAATGGAAGATTCGACTTCTGATGATGTTAGAGGTCAAGTACACAACTACATGGAGATACTCGAGAAAAAGATTGCATCTCTGATATCTGAACTCGATGAACTACGATTGGTCGGACAAAGCAAGGACACGTTATTGGAAGCTGAGAGGAGTAGAGTGTCTGAGCTCAGACAGAGAGAAGAAACTCTCGAGAAAATATTATGCGAGAAGGAATCCCGGGCAAACGTGGCAACCACTTCAACATCTGAGATTGTCGAAGTAGAACCTGTGGTAAGCTTAAAGCTAGTTTTCTGTCTGAACAGTTTTAACCACACTCATATAAAGTGCGTTTTTCTAAACTACATACTCCGTATAACATGTGTATATTATATTCCTTGAACGATCAAATTTTGAAAATGGGTGATTTTCTTGCTGCAGATACACAAGTGGGGAGCGAGTGGGACGTCCATTCCATCTCAAGTCCGTAGTTTACGAAAGGGAAACAACGATCAAGTTGCTATTAGTATCGATACCGATCAAACTGGTCAGAGCGGTAGCTTAGAAGAGGATGACGACAAAGGTGAAGATCTTCGCCTACATACACTATACTACTTGTATTGTATTCCATACTAATTAGCTAATCCTTCTGTTAACCTTTCTCCATGTAAATTTTACATCCAGCCCACGGCTTCAAATCGCTATCTACATCGAGAATCGTTCCTCGATTCACCAGGCCAGTGACTGACGTGATCGATGGTTTATGGTAAGGATCTCTCCTACAAATCCTCGCCCTACTTCTCTCATTTCATTTTGAATTCATGCTTATCTGTCTAATAATACGATCCGTTCTATATATATATTTGCAGGGTCTCTTGCGATCGGACACTCATGCGTAAACCGGCCTTACGGCTCGGGATCATGATATACTGGGCAATATTACATGCCCTTCTCGCGACATTCGTGGTCTAACCAACCGGTTTCTCGTAAGCTCATCATACAAACAGCCTCTTCCCAAATCAACTCTCTCTAAGTTTCTCATCAATCATCATTACCACCTTATATGCTTTGCATTGTTCTTCCACCATTGGAACAGGATTGACGACAAACAAGAGTGGTGATTGCATTGGATCTCTTGTCCATACAACACATAATAAGGTTGCTTATTATTTGTCTATCGTGGTTCAGAGATTTGTTCGATTGATTCAGTGTTTAGATTCCAAAACCAAGCAGACTGTGATTCTGTCTTTTTTTAATCCCCCAAATCTCAGACTGCTTGGTAACTACACAATTAAGTAAGGAAAAAAAAAAGACATTTTGTGATAGCAATTTAAACCAACTATTTCAGCTTCCAACGTTATTCTTATTTCCTTTTTCCAATTTTTTTTTTATATTGAATTATTTCAAATTTGCAACCAAGACGAAAGTCTTACAACATATGAGATCAATCACTGACTTAAAAAGGTTATCAGATTGGTTTGGTTATGACATGTAACAGTATCCATGAAGTTGAATCCACTGAATTCGAAGCGAATTTTAATTAAATATGAAAATAAAGGCTATAGTTTTCTGTTAATGAAAATCAAATACAATAAAAAACGAAAATAAAACAAAATGAGTAATGTTTTCTACAATTGAATAGAAACATAGACAGATTGGAATATAATCAAATATCTATCAGCTATGTCCTACACGTCGACAGTT